CTCGAACCCGCAGGCTCAGGCAATCCACTCACCTCAGCTTCCCAAAGGCGCAGGATTACAGGCTGAGCCACCGAGCCCGGCTCACAATTTTTAAATAAATAAATTTAGGGTCCCTCCCTCGTATGCTTTGTCCCTGATTGAAGAGCTGAACTAAAAGGCTGTTCCGATTCATATGCCCAACTGTGTGCTGGAGTCAGCCCCTTCCACCCGGCACAGTGTTTGTGCTCAGCAAGCCTGGCCGAGATAACGTCAGCGTCCGCTGTTGGTGCAGCCACCATCCCACCATTGCACCATCCCACCATCCCTGCCCCGTCCCAGGACCCGAACCCACGCACCACCCTCAGCTCTGCCTGCTCCCTGCAGGGTTCTGGGTGCTGACCCCCAAGACAAAGCAGACGGCACCACTCACCATCGCGGTGGCCTGGGGCTACACGGACTGCGCCCACCACCTGGTCCAGCAGGGAGCCGAGCTGGATGCCCGCGTTGGGGGCAGGGCTGCCCTGCACGGGGCATGCGCCCAGGCCCAGCCTGACTGTGCACGGCTGCTGCTGACCTTCGGCGCCAAGGCCAACGTGCTGTCCGATGAGGGCGTGGCCCCCCTGCACCTCTGCACAATGCCTGAGTCCTTGCAGTAGGTGCCCTGGAGCTGGGTAGTTTGGGGAGTGTGTGTGTGTGTCCAGCTCACCGGGCCAGGGCCAGGGAGAACGTGACGTCCTACGCATGACGTCCTGTGCAGCTCTGCAGTCCACAGAGCACCACACATGCCCTCGCTACAATCTGGAGACAGGCCCATTCTACGGATGAGGAAAAATTAGGCTCAGAAGGGTCAGTGACTTGTCCAAGGTCACATCTGCTGACCCCAGGAGGCGGAAACCCTATGGCTTTTGGAACAACCTGCTCCAACTGCAGCCTCCAGTTCCCAAGAAAGATCTAGCCCTGTGTTTCCCAGCCCCCAGGGAGGTGCCCCCCGCCGCCTCCCCCCACTTTTTAAAGGTCAACAGTTTCTTTTTTTAATTTAATTTAATTTAATTTAATTTTTTTTGAGTTGGAGTCTCACTCTGTTGCCCAGACTGGAGTGCTCCCGGCCACCGCAGCCTCAACCTGCTGGGCTCCGGCGATCCTTCCGCCTCAGCCTTCCGAGTAGCTGAAACTACAGGCGTGCGCTACCACGCCCGGCTAATGTTTTGATTTGTTGTAGAGATGAGGTCTCGCCAAGTTGCCCAGGCGGGTCTCGAACCCGCGGGCTCAGGCCATCCACTCGCCTCGGCCTCCCAAAGCGTGGGATTATAGGCTGAGCCACCTAGCCCGGCCTCAGATTTCACCTTTTTAAGTAAGGTGAGACTGACCACTTTCTGGAAGTCTGTAAGTGAGCTTTTATGTGTTACTGAAATTTCATATTTGGAAACAAAAATTAGCTCATGATTAAAATTTATTGGGGCAATACATTCAGTAGTGTTGTTTGTCTGAAACGGAGTTCTGCTCTGTCCCAGGCTGGAGTGCAGCAGTATGATCAGAGCTCACTGCAGCCTTGAACTCCTGGGCTTGCATGAGTCTCCTGCCTCGTCCTCCCAAAGTGCTGGGACTACAGGTGCCAGCTCACACCCAAGGCCAGTCAGTAGTTCATGGACACCGGCTGTTTCCCCTCTTGGTCCCTGAGCAAAGCACGCATCCCAGCTGCAGGAGCAAGAGTTCTGGCCATTTGGGGAAAGCAGATCCAGTGATCAGGGTTTCCTCAGGTGGAGAGACCTGCCCGTGAATTCCCAGGGGCTGCCACTGTGGCCTTTTAATTATGAATTATGTTCGTTCTGTTCCATCATTATTAATTCAGCTTGTTGCGTGTGTGGTTCACCCACAGAAGGTCACAGTGCGTGCCTGCTGGGAGCATTCCGGCCTGTAACTTCCTGGGAATGAGGAGATGGTAAAACGCACTCTACAATCGACTGCTTTTGTTCTTTGGTTTTGTTTTCTCTGGGAGTGGAGTGGGGAGCCCCACCCCACGTGCCTGCCTTTGCCTGAGTGGCCGTGGCTCCATCTAGAAGGGTGGTCTTCAACTCTAGGGACAAGAGGACAGTATTAGAACTTCTATTTGAGCCAGGCACAGTGGCTCACACCTGTAATCCCAGCACTCTAGAAGGCTGAGGCGGAAGGATCGCTTGAGCCCTGCAGGTTGAGGCTGCGATGGCTGTGAGCGTGCCACTGCACTCCGGTCTGGGTGACAGAGTGAAACTGAGTCAAAAAAAGAATAATTATTTCTATTTGGTTTCCTTTTTGCTCAGATGCTTCAACTTATTTTTTTTTTGAGTTGGGGTCTCATTCTGTTGCCTAGGATGAAGTGCAGTGGCAAGCTCACGGCCACCAGGGGATCCTCTCGCCTCAGCCTTCCAAGTAGCTGGCACGACAGGTGCAAATCACACCTGGCTAATTTTTTGATTTATTGTAGAGATGTGGTCTCGCCAAGTTGCCAGGGCTTGTCTCCAACCGATGGGCTCAGGCAATCCACTGGTCTCGACCTGCCAGGGTTGGGATTATAGGCTGAGCCACCGAGCCCGGCCAGGAGTGGCTTTTCAAATTTGTGTGCTGTCAAAATGTTCGGAGGCCCCCGGCAAGTGAATGATTCAGAAGCAGGTCCTGGGGTCCCATCCCACGGGGCAGTCAGGGTAGCCTCTGGGAGGGGCCGTCTGAGGAGGTGAGTACTGATTCTGGCGCAGCCACTAACTTGCTGTGTGTCCTCGGCTGCACGAATCCTTTCCGGGCTTAGGCTTTTCACCCGAGACCCGAAGATGCCCTGGTGGCTCTCACGGGCCTTCCGATCCTGCAGTCCGGACGGTCGTGGGGCTTCTGTGCTTCCGACGGCGGACACCAGGCGGGACCTCAAGGCAGGGGGTGGCAAGGAGGGGGTGGG